GAAACTACTATAGTATATTAGGGCTGTACAGGGATAATGGAAAAGAAAATGGAAACTACTATTCAGGGTTTAGGTTTGGGTACTGCCCCCAGCCTATGACAGCCTATATCCGCGGTCATATTCAGGGCTTTATATTGCTATATCATGAAGATTAGCCAGCTGTTAAAGAGTGGGGGCAGTACTCACTGAAGGCTTGTAGGCTTGGGGAACAAATACCCCCATCATGAAGGATCAAATGGAAGAGAACATGGAAAGTGAAACGGAAAGTACAATGCCTAAAGAGTTATACAATCAAGGAGATGTACGGTTCCTGGAACGGGATTGCTATTGTTGCTACTGATTGCGTTGCCTACCCTTTTCCTTGACATGAACAAATATCCGAAGAGTATACATGACTATTACTGGGTGGCTGTCCAAGAACTGAAACTACGTTACAATAACAAGGAAAGCCTATGACATATACCCCTAGTACGGTAACTTAAACTGCAATTCTTTACCAGCAACCCAGACTGAAGCTTTTCTGCCCAGGATCTGGGCCCCGGGTTCCTTCGCTCAGGCGTCGAGCTGCTGCTGCCAGGCCCTGGGCATCAAAGAGGATGCAGCCAGGCCCTTGGACACAGCGGTCTAAAGGGTTAGGATGTGGGGAATTTTTGGGGACAGCTTGGGGTTTGAAGTTGGGGTTTTAACGTTAGGGGTCTGGGCTGGAAGTTATGTGCTTACTTAGCATCGCCTGTGCGCCCGAAATCAAGATTCTACCCTAAACCCTAAACCCTAAAACCCTAAACCTTCTTCCTGAACAACTAAGTTGCAGTCATCCGGAAACAGCTCCAGCAGTTGCTTCATCCCCAAGATGTAATAGATAGATCACCAATCACTAATGAGGCACATGGCCAAAACACAAAATCAAAGGTTTCAGATTTCAGAATAGGTAAACACAAAATAGGTATAATGAACAAGAAAATGGAAAGTACTGTATTATTCTAGAAGGATTACAGGGTTTGGGATGGGAAAAGGAAACTGGAAACTAGAAAAATGGGACAATGAAGTTAACGGGCTTACCAGACCTTGTGCAAAAATCCGTACAATCGAAGGTACACCTCGCAAAGCTCCCAGAGTTTAAGCCCTAGACCTACTTATGCGAAAGGTTATCCGAACAGATGGTCAGATTTTTTGTGGTTTTCGGGGCCAAAAAGTAAATTTTGTCAGCCTGCCATCTAAGCCCCAAACCCCAAACCCCAAGCCCTAAACCCTAAGCCCATAGCCCTGAACCCTAAGCCCTAAACCGTAAGCCCTCAACCATAAAACCTGCCTGGCCTTTGAGTGGCCATGGTCCCAAACTGTTGCCGATAGCACGCGGCCAAGTAGGTGCCATGCTGCCTGGGAACAGTGTAAGGTTAAAAGTACCTGGCCTTGTAGCAAACTGAGGAGTGCACAGTATATAACATATATATATATATAGATAGATATACAAATAAGAAGAAACACAATATATATATATATATTGACACTAATCCACTGATTGGAATTTTCTCAAGGGCTTCCTGCAGGTGCTGCAAGAGACCCTCAGGGGTGACGCGTAGGTGTGGAATCCCACAGCCTTTGCTGGCAACACCTTAACTCCCTGGTGCTTAGGAGGGAATGGGGGAATGGATCCCTATGGCAGTTCCTATATAATGACCAATAGTAATCCCTATAATCCATTCCCCCATTCCCTCCTAAGCACCAGGGAGTTAATGTAAGAATTCTTCCCCCTTTCAAGCCAAGAATACACGATCACAGTTCCTTGCCCCTGCGAGGCGCTAAATACAGGTAATCCCTATACGTCTCTGTATGATGTGACCCCGAATAACTGGTAGTTTCCCTCATGTGGGGACCCTATATGGACCCCAAAAGTTTTCAATCCTCACTATAGGCACCCCCAAGAAGGTACCCATAATGTTAGGGCTTAGGAAACCCCCAACGAATGCGCAACGAATATTCCCAGGCAACGCTCCGCACTTCCCTGGACGTCCTAGAAACTCAACTCCTACTTGGAGGGTCATGAGTATTTAGTAATTAGATTATTAATGGGGATAATTGCGGTTATTCTATGGCTTATAGGGGCCGTTAACCTGCCTACTAAGTCCCCTGACCCTCACCACCTACATAACTAAGTCCTGAACCCCTCCCATCCCCTAGCTTAGGAGGACCCCCACCCGCAAAAGTGGTATAATAGGCATCTCAAAGAAAAACATACTCCTCATTATCCCTCATGGTCATTACTGTACTACTGGGTGGGGGGATCCACCTAACCTCTAGCAGAAACTGGGGCCCAGATGAGCCATAGTCTAGACTCCAAGTATCCCCCTTAATAGCCCCTATAATAGTCCCCAATAGAATCCTCTATTAGTGTCCCAAAATAAGGGGACCCCAATATTAAACCCCCAAATACTATAGTCCTTATTATTGAGACCCCTAAAATGGTACCCCTATTTTTGGGAAAGTTCCATATAAAATATATAAACCCCCTTTCAAGGTGTTTAGACCATAGCCCAGATGCCAAAGTCTGCAGCAGGCTCTCGGCCCGGGCACAGGGAGGCCAAGAGCTCATTGTCTGACATCGTCAGGGATACCTCGGCCTCCTTGTCTTCCCACCTGAGTAGCTTTTGGGGGTTTAGGGTTCAGGGTTTAGGGTTTGGGGTTTGGTTTTTTTGGGGGTGGTTGAAGCCAGTAAGATTAAGCTCTGTATGTATAATCCTATACCCAAAAGGAGAATACTCTGTACTGGGTACCAATCGTATCCCCAAATAGAAAAATACTCGCCTGTTAAGCTCAAGCTTAGGGCTCAGATTTCGAGCTTTAAGGGCTCAACATTCATGATGCAGAGTTCGGGATTGTTTTGGGCTCAGGGCTTTGGGGGGTCTTGGGGTTAGGGGTTTGGGTAGTCTTGCGGCTTCGGGCTTGGCAGTTCTTTTTGCACAGGAAGGTTCAAAGCGTTCCAGAACTTCGTGGGGATATCTTTGGATTTGCCCAGGGTATGGAGGGAAATCTAAATAGAGAGCATACAAGAAGTACATGGAGAGAGCGGGAGTAGACCTGATAGATTCGCCAAATCTGGCAGGTTCAAAAGACAGCTATATTCCGCTACGTAGTCCAGAATGTAGTGCCCATTCTGCTAGGCTCCCTATCTAAATCTCCAAGCACACATGCTAACACTGAACCCAAAACTTCATCACTGAAACTCCAAACCGTATGCCAAGGCTAAGGCACGTATCCCCATCTCCTGCTCGAAGCTGTACAGGCTTCCAGTCTTCTTCGCCCTCTCTACCAACCTGAAACCAGTCTCAACGCAGAGGACCAGCTTCTTGAAATCAAGGATTTCAGGGATCCCTGGATTCAGTAGGTTCAGTACCTAAGGACTTCCGGACTTACTTAATTTTGGCAAGTAGACACAATGGTGGTTCACAACAGCCACGGAATGCTGTTCAGAAAAAACACATCCGATATTGCACTCTACTCTTTAACCTGGCATGAGCTCCATCTGCACATTGCGCAACGACAGGCAATGGAAAACTGCAAAACACTTGTTTGAGGCTATGGTATTTAGCACCATGATCAGGTCGTGATGCCTCGCCCACGAGAACATCAGAATCTCTTCCGTTGGTACCGCGCTCCATCAGCAGCACCTTGAGCTGGAGCTGCGAAGCCTTCGGGGCTGAAAAACCTTCAGCTGTCCTGTTGCCATCCATAGCATCTGCAGTTCGAGGTGCTTCGTCGAGCGTGAGGACAGGTGCCGCCCGTGCAGTGGCCCGGCTCCAGCTGCGACGTCGAAGGTGGAGCGTCCCAAGGCAAAGGGCGGCTGCAGCCTCCCTGACGCCAGCCTTCCGCGCAGGCGACCTGCTCGCCTCCAGAAGCTACGAGGAGACATTTTTGAACCGTCCAACAGCATTTACACTGTCCCACTGTCCCAGCTTTGAAGCCCAGCTGCCTGCGAAGCTCGGACCTCTGGACCACGCCGGAGGCCCAGGCATGCTGCACTGGATCCAGGAGGAAACGGAAGAGGAGGTTGCGATGAGCCTAACTCCATGGCGAGGGCAAGCAGAGCAGTTGATCGCAGCACCTAGTTCTGGAATTGATTTGACCCAGGGCTCTGCCTAGGGGATAGACAAATGGACTAGAAAATTCCCAACGGCAGAAATGGAATGCGGCTGGCTGTCTTTGTGCGGGTTCTCCGTAATGGGTTGCGGATGAAGAGGATCTTCTATGTCTGTTCGATACCTGCCCACTTCCCTCTTCCAGGGACCAGCCAGCGTAGAAGGCAGAGGCTTCTAGTGCTAGGCTACAGCCACAGAGTGGCACATGGATCCTTAGGTGTTCGGTTGTGGTTCTGTTGTGCAACCTAGCTTCATGAGCCGAGCAGCTGCGTTGCAGTAAGCACAGCACTCCCTGTTGCAACACAGCAGAACAGTGGCAGTACATCCATCTC